AGAACTGTGGGTGGGGAGGAGGAGAGGAAAGAGGAGGAGTATTTCGTGGCTGCACAGTGGTACACAACAGCAAGCTACTACTTTCCCTTTAGGGCTTCTCGTACATTTCGAGGCACTGTGTGCTGTTCCGTTGTTAGCATTCTTGGCCACGCTGGCACCGCATTGTACACAGTCTGAGTAATTCAGCTGGCTTCAATAATGCCGTCTATATTTAATGTTTCAGAAGCTGCGAAGACTGGTTTAAGATGGTAATTTTCTGTCTGCACTTTTGAGATCTACGCAATATGGGCGGTACTGAACTGTCTCTGACAGATTCAGTGCTGGAAGAGGGAATGCGTGAAAAAAGCAAAATAAAACACACATACCCTTCCCCCCCATATAAAGAAATTAGCTACCCGCTTATGTACAGGGAGGATTTGGTCCTCATGAATGAAGGAAGCTTAACACTGGAGAGTGATATTTACCATTTCTATACAGAGCAGCTCCAGAGCTGCCACTGGAAACAAGCAATCTGTCTTGCACTTTTTTGTCTAAAACTCACTGATTGATCTCTGGAGAGACAACCTGTAGGTTAATTCTTTCTCCTTTCCTGTCTCCTCTCTGGAAATGCCAGTAAAAGGATATCAGTGACATCTACCAGTCTTATCTGGACCTACCACACAGCTTAGGGTCAACCTGGCAGCCATGGTGACAAACGGTTTTTAGTTGCACATAGACCAGCTGAGCTTCCAGACTGGTGCTAGTGGAGCTGTGGGCTGTGCAGGTGTCTCTTTCCAGGATTCTCAGAGCTGCGATAAGCACTGTGAGATGCTTTTCTGCTTCCTGACACTGGGATTTTGGCACAGGGAAAAGACCCTTGCATAACTTGCAGGGGACCCTCAGAGACCCAAAGAATTGCACGCTGAGGACCACTGGAAGACAACAGAAGGATGAGCCAGGTATTTCCTGGCTGTGTAAGCAAGAAGTCACTCCTTTGCGTGAGGAAACTGGGGAACTGCTGTCAGAATACCATGGCTGTGCCACAAAGTTGGGGACATCAGGGCTTAAAGGAAATGGCCGGAGAGGTGAGACAAGATTGAAGGAAGAGACACTTTGATAGCTGTGCTGGCAGTAGCTGTGAGACAAGCCACCAGGATATAACAGGTGGGAAGCGGGGTAGCAAATGCTGTGTGCGTGGGTGGGCACGGGGGGAAGCTCTGGCAGAAATGCTGGATGAGGTGGCAAAGTAGGAGGAACAGTATCAGACAGCACAAACATTAAAAACAAGAACAATTTTTTACTTTGATTGTGGTGTATACTTGCAAACAATCTGAAGGGAAAAAGAAATATCTATAGGATCAAATTTTAATAAGCACATTTATGTGAAAAACAAAATAATTTTGAATAATTAAATACCATCATCTTGGTATCATTCATTACAATATTTATGGAGAGGCTGTCTGTTAATAAGCAGGCACGACAGCAGTCCCTGTTATGAAACTTGGCTCATTCCTGCCAGTATAAGATCCTCTTCCCATTTGCTTGTAATTTTGCCAAAGATCACGTGTTTGTGCTGAAATTTTTCAGAGTGTCCGTCTGTCTTAGGCTGATTTTTTTTTCAGTCAAAGCTATTTCTTCATTTTCTAAAATGAGACTAGAAGGGAAAAATATGCTGTTTGGCAGGTATAACTGCCTTGTTACAACTTCTTGGTGGTGGCATCAAGCACCCAGGAAAAAGAAACCTCAGAACCTGACCCATGCAAAATGAGCAGGTTCTGCAGCTTTTAGAGATAAATATGAGGGAGAAAAAGAGAAAGAAGGTTAAACCCCCAGGGGATGGCTACAAGGTTTAAACAACTGTGATGTCTTTGGGCCTCGAATGGGAAGGTCCCAGTTCTGTGAAGGAAAAACCTTACATGTGACTGGGAATATGGTACCTTAGTTATAGATACTCTATTTTCCACCCCCGTGAAAATAAGACCCATTTGCTGTCTTTGAAAATACGACCCTATGCACACACAATAAGCACGCAGTAGTTGACAGTTTAACCATTAAGCCTGCTGGAAGGTTTTATCTCATATCAAGTTCTTTGCAGCTCATTCTGCAGCCAGAATGCACACTCTCTTACCCTGGGGAAACTGAGCGTGTTGGATGTTTTCCTGGGATTCCTGTTCCTGGCTGGTCCAGAGCCAAGTACAAAGATGCGAGCAGGGAGCGTCTCTCTCTCTCGTGCTCTCAGGAGTGTCTTCCACACCACTTCCTCCCATGCTCGGACAGCTTTGGAAAAATTGCCTTAAACACAAACCAGAAAAAGTCAGGATCAAAGGAAAAGGGATATAATTAGACTAAATCACAGTGGGAGATCACAGTGGGAGATGTGAAAATAAAACAGCGGAAGTTTGTGAGCTGATCTGCGGTATGTAAAGCTTGGCCATGGAGGAGCCATGGGGAGGGGGTGGGTAGAATGGGGAAGGAGATTTCGGTTCCATGGAAGTGTAACAAGTTCAACCCATAAGTGAAACTCGGTTTCCCATTTGTAACAGTCATTCAGTAGTGAAAAGGCTTTTCAGGGACAGAGATGGACTGAAAACTCACTTGGAGTCTTCCAGATGGGAGTTTATATTGTTCGGAAGCATGGGCTCTAGGGTTTCTCCCAGAAGCTGAAGTAAAATCTCTGAAACAGGATGAAGGTGCAGTCTGGATGGTGGTGGTGTTCTCCTTGGATATGCATGGCTATTGACTTCCCTCAGAGGCTGTGGAGCAAACAAGATCTTTTGTGAGGTCCTCCTCAGACTCCCTAGTACTTGTAGCACCGCACTGAGACAATGACGATAATCAAATCCCATGCTTCAAGGTTTCAGCTGGTTGCCTGGAGAGGAAAAGAAGGGCTTCCCTCCCCCAGTACATAATTGGCTAGATGCATTTATAGCTTTGTGTGGGGTTCCTTTCGTTCATTTTGGCTCCTCTCTTTGAATCATCAGCGGCTGGCCACACTGGTGAGACCTAACTGCTCAGAGAAGACTCTGAGATGGAGGGCAAAGAATCCTTTATCTTAACAACCCTTTCCATGTTCAGGTGTGTAAGGTCCAACAGGTTGCAGCTGGGAAGGAAAGGACATTTCACCAGCCCCTATTAGATGACACATCTGCTTACCAAACCTCAGGTGTCTCAGCTAGTGACCCTTGAAAGGGCTTATGCTATCTTTCTGGTGTCTTGTATGCTCTGCTTCTCTTCCAAGGACTGGAGTCCCTTCTTTCTAAATTGCAGACATCAGCTAGAGCTATCCTGGGTGAAGCTTAGTGGTCTGTAATAACAGGAGGTTACATGAGGTGACCAAATGGTCCCTTCTGGGCTAAAAAGTTATGAAATATCTGGAAAGCTATAGCTGTGCTAAGGACCTGCATGGCTATCAGTGTGTGACATATGACAGTATACACAAATTCAGCGTATCTTCTGAAAGTGTAGGGAGTAGTACCCAACAGGCAAGATGAACACAGGCCTGAGGTGGCAATCCATCCCTGGTCAGGAAATGCCAAAGTAGAGCTTCCCACGCAAAAGTTGGTTGGGCAAGAGCCTCAGTGGAACAGACTTTGTTATTTCATATAAAATCTTGAGACCTGAAATGTTCTTGTGCTGGGGTAGAGTGAATACACATACCTGAATGTCTCTTGAAAGCTCCCAGGGAGCAGTGTAGGCTGCAAGATCCATCAAAAAGCTAACCCAGCTGGACTGCAGAGTGTGTGAGATATAATCAGACATATACCCACATGTATTTTTACTTCAGTGGCTGAATTAATCCATCATACTAGTGTTCACTTGCAACAGAAATACACTACTAATAACTCCATCAGTCCCTGAAATGTCATCTGTTTCCAAGCAGCTCTGAAAACAATACTGGCACCAAGTTTTTTGATGCCTGCGACTTCCAGTGCAGTGGAACAAGGCCAGGGACTATTTCTAGGTTTGCTATCTGTAACTTACCAAGATGCTGAACACCTGCAACATTGGTTTGAGTCAGAGCTACCAGTCCTAAGCACAAGCATAAACTAAGCTTTAGATGCTTAGATACATGGTTAGATCAGTAACTCAAGCTAGTAAAGCAATTCCTTGTTCAAGTAGTCCTTAAAAAGGAGTGTGCTTACAAGCAATATGTTGCCCCAGCAAATCATAGTTTCCTTTCTTGATCACTAAGGGAAAGCACCATAAACTTTTTAATCTCATGTTTGTCTCCTCTTGCTCTTCAGCAGTGTCTAACATTCATCATATCAATAAAAAATTATATAATCATTTCAGAATCAACTAAATCTACTGACCTGCTCTTGACAGTCACAATAAATCTATGCAGAACCTAAAGCTAGCCAAGACCAGGGGACGTGTGCTTTTAAAGATGTCCCTACATCCCAGAATTCTCTTCATAAAAATAGGTTTTGGTCATACCTTTTTGTTTTGACAGTTCAGATCAGCAGTCTTCCTGGCTGATATATTGATTGTAGGGTGTCAGTCTTCCTCATCTAATAAAATATCACAGCACAAGGGAAAAAAAGGAAAGCTTTTGTCTTCTTGGCAACTCAGTGTGAAAGCTTTCCAGAATATTGCTCTGCATAGAATTAAAATGGCTGTGGGCCAACGACTAATTATATTAAAGGGCTGTGCTTTTAAATTATTTAGGTACCATAGTGTTTACCCTAGTATTATTAAAAACACCGCATATACTTCTACAAATAAGATGAATGTGACAGTCACTCTGAGGGTGATATACTGTACCAGGAGTTTCTACTTTAATGTAACAAATGGCTTAACACACATTAACAGATGCATTACTCGTGGAGCACTGCTGCAGAAGGAGATGCAGATGAAAATAATTTACCTCTCGTCCAGTTACACACAGCAGATTATGCAACAATAATAAATGTAGGACCAGACTGCAAAGCATTGTTTCAAATGGGGATTTATCAAACTGAGGATTTAAAACCGCTTTGGATCCAGATGATGCTAACCAGAAACTTCTTTTCTTTGTGCAGCAATTGCTGAGCATACAGGAAGAATTAAATAACAAAAAATCCGAACTGGAGCAAGCCAAGGAAGAGCAAACACATACACAAGCGATGCTTAAAGTCCTGCAGGAACAGGTGAGTGTTTCTGGCGGGAGAAAAATGCTGGCTTAGGCATGCAAAGGGGACGGAGGACTCATGGCTTCACCTCCAAAATCCATAGGAGTCTGACCACAGAATATGCTGTGAGCAAGACATAACCTTTTGTGGCCTGTGTGTCTGCTCTGATTAGCATTTGTGAACGCAGCTGAGGCTAACACAGTTTGAGAAAACGGAGTGAAAAGGGACCCTTATTTTTATACTATCCAATATTGAATTTCATGTCGAGTAACATTTCCTCTTACGTTATTCTACATAGATATCAGTGATGTGTGTTTTCGCTCTGAATTAAAAAAAATGTTGAGAGAGTTAAATATACCTGAAACAAAACAGCTCTTTCTTTTAAGACTAGTATTAAAAAAAAGGAACTTGGCATCTCCTGTGTTATTCATGCAGATCTGAGTATAGAAAGAACTTTATTATAATGGCATTAAAAAAGTAGTTATCAATGCACTTTTTTAAGCAGTGAGAAGCAAACCTCTGTAAATTTGATTATCACACCTTCTTTGATATTAAGGTGTTCTATGACACTGAGAAGTATATTTGATAATATTGTTTTATAAGCATGGTAAGATGGATAGTTACACATCAAAAAGAAAATCTGGTGCTAAATCTATAAATCTGGAGATGAAACAGTGCTTTGTGTACAAGCACAGCGTGCACAAATACATGTTGTCTGTATAGACCACGTGGCTTGGACACACTGAAATTCCAAATCCCCACCTGTGCTGCACAGGCACAGTCTCTGCTTTGAGACCTTATTTTAATCCTTTCTATATAAACTTTGAGCTAAAATATTTACTGGTGACTTGGTTAAATATGCGCAGTTTAAAGACTGTGGGATCTGAATTGCTTAGATGGCAGAGATTCAAAATGGTGATGATTCTTATGTTCAAGATTTTTCAGCATGTATGTCTGAATATGTCTGCAGACAGATTTATACATTTAATATACATATTGGGAAAAGTAAATTAGGCTTATTTCAGATTCTTTTAATGTCATTATGAAAGCTGTGACATTGTTCCACATCTAGCATTTGCCTTTGAACATATCTAGTGACAAATGTATTCTAGAAACTAATAATTTAGATTCTGGAAAAAAATAAAGCTTTTATGTTCAGATACATGTTCTTAGCACTTACAGTTACAAAGATAACCTTCTAAATGAGAGCTGATGCAAGACTGTGTTACACAAAACATCATGAGGAAGAATGGACTTGGTAATGACAGATCTTTATAAACACAGAATCCACCAGATCTCTTGAGTTAATTGCATCTCATTTACATTTTTACATCGCATTCAAGGTATAACGTTATAAAATACTCTTTAAAAAAAAAAGAAAGAATGAAATTTCATTAAGTTATTTTATATCCTGGTAGCAATTAAATGCTGCAAAAACATATAGGAAGATCTTACAATACTGGGCCCCAGTAGGGACCACCAGGGCAAGACTTTTGAATCTCTGCAGACTCCTACTAATTGCGAATCAAATGTGCGCTCATGCTAGGCAGACAGACGAAACAGTAGCTGGAAGAAAAGCAGGATGGATCTGCATTTCTCTTGAGAATTAGCTCTGAAACATGCCTAAGGCCAAGACTGCAAGTAGCCAGAATTCCTAAGGAGTGCTATGCAGCCAGTGTGCTTCTCCAACAACCCTGAACCAGTTCCAAAACTTTCCAGAAGAGCAGAAGCCCTAGCAGTAATGACCCCCACTTGCCAAGGCTCACAGCTTTCCTTTACAAGCACCACAGCTCATCTGTGTGTTTTATCCACAATGGGTATTGAAAATCATCCGGCGGAGTCAAGTAAATATGAACATTTCTTTCAAAAATAAATAGCACCGGGCTCCCGCCTTGATTATATGACTCGTTTTCGTGATATGTTTGCTAAAATCTGCCTTTTCATCTCAAGCTGGCAGAGGGATCCCACCCTGCCTCACCACAGGCATGCTTGCACGGAGAGGTACATCTGTGTCTGAGCACGTCTGCTGGCTCAGCAGCATCTCACGTTGAGCCAGTTGCACTAATGCAGCCGTGTCCAGGCTGGGACGTCCTGCTGGGAGAGGTCCCGTTTGCTCATGCACCATCTTGTATTCCTGTAACCAAAAGGCTTCTGGACCAGATCTGGCCCGTGGCCGCCAGCTCTTGTTGTCAGAGGGATTCACGCCTGCTGGTTTGTGTCAGACCTACCCCACTGCAGCATTAGGTGCATCAGAGACTTCTAACTCCTCAAGCCTTCTCCTTTCCTTTCAGGTAGGCTCTTGGTTGTTACTGGCCCTAGGTCAGTATGTTGCCTCAGCATGCTCTCTGCTGGTAACATCACGTTCACCACCGACCTGCAATGGAACCTGCCTAGGGGGTAAGGCAAGTCCTGTTTTTCCAATATTGTATGTTTTTCTGATGTTCCTATTCCAACATTTCACTATTTAGGATGTGCGAGAAGAATATAATTAAATTTTAATTTAGAAAAAAACAATATTGGAAAAAAAGGGACTTCACCCCTTTAGCCTGTGGGAATGCAGCTGCACATTCTCTAGCCACAAGTTTTCCACCATTATCTGCAATGGTTCACCTCCACCTCCTACTGCAGTGGTTCTGTTGTAGATGTGGATGCTAGCACCTTCTTTCCTGAGCTCTGGCATCCTTTTCTGAGCATGGCAAGCAATAAAAGAGATGGAAAGGCTCAAGCGTCCTGTCTGCGTTAGAGTTAGATTAACCGGTGGAGCAGTGCCAGGGCGGTGATGGTGAGAAACCATGGTGAGGTGAAAGCCTGCCAGACCAACGTAGGCTAGAGGCTGAGCCCACTCTCCTGTCAAACACCTGTGTGGCTGATGGGGGAGTGGTATGTCACCAGCAGAACGCATGCGGAGCATTGCCCAAGAAGCCGGCAGTCACCAAGGGGTGACAGCACTTTATCAGCCTGGAAAAGGAAAGGCAAAAGGTAAGTAATGAACAGCAATCCCTGAGCGCTCAGGACATGGCATTAGCATGCAGAGCAGTTTTACGTACCCGAGCATGCTCTCCTGACCTCATATTCAGATGAGTAATTCAGCTGAGCTCAACAGGACTGCTCACGTGAGGTGAATTTCTGTAATGAAGAATTGGCAGAATCAGGAAATGTCTCTTTTGGTCACACCGCGATGCAGAAATACCTAACTTTGGTGCTTGGCTGGAAGTAGCCCTCTTGGCTCATTCCTACCAGCCATTCTCACAGTGAGGTGGTTTCACAGGATGGTTATTTTTTCAGTGCAGGGAAAACATGTAGCATTGATTGGAAATGCATCACCCTGCTGTCAAGTATAAATTGCAAACTTTTCGAGGTATTGAAAGATGAGTATCAGTGAATTGAACCAGGACACCTGATGAGTTTGCAGTCCCCAGCTATCCTTTGTAATGCTTTGTCAGGGATTGCCGCTCCCTTCCCTTTCCATCAGGACCGGTTTAGTGGCTTGAGCAGCAGTTCCTGAACTGGTGCAGTTTACAGCCCTGCATAATAAGGTATACAGAGACCTTACCTTAATTGTCAGATCAGAAACTGTGAGAAGCCGGGAACTGAATCACACGCAGTTTAGCTGTTGCTGCCACACGCAAAAAAGATGATGGAGGTAACCTAGCTGCCCTAGGGTGGTAGTCTGCCAACGCTTCTGAGTCAGACACCTAATCAAAACATAATAGTGTTCCATTTCACCTGGATTTTGGGACTGTTGTCATTCAGGATCACAGCTGTATCATCAACAGTTACCTCAACCCCAGCTTCTTTGGCAAAAAACAAGGAATGCAGAGGAAAGTTCTGTTTATTGTTCCTCATCTCCCCTCACCCCAGATATCTACTCTGAATTAAGTTAGAATAAAAGCATGACTCTTCAGAGATTTACCTAAAGAGTAAATGGTTCTGAGCGCTTCATTTAAGCGTACAAACCTCCATGGCTTATAGGCTCAGGAGAACTGCGGTGTCTCCTCCTTTCTGTGTTTGCTCAATCACAGGATGAACGACTGTGTATTTCACTGTGGCTTGAGACATGAGCTAGGACATTCCTTAAATCTCTTGGGAATGATTTTTACAATCCTCAATGTAATCCTGGATTTTCCCCCAAAAGCTAATTCAGAAGGAAAAAATATGTTTCGGTTCAGATCATATATTTGGAATTGGCAGTGTCTCCTCAGTTCTTCCTGCCACCGGTTAAATAAAAGAGCTGTTCTTCTCTTCAACTCCTTTTCCGTCATACCCAGGAGCCATGTCAGTTATTTAGATGCTTCCTCAGGAAGGAAACGTACAGTAGCACTTTGGCATCTTAAACAGCTCAAAATATATCATTCAAAAGCAATCATTAGCAAAACACTATTTAGCTAGTGGCAACTTGCAAATATTGTAAAGTTTAAATTAATAGCAACAAGAATGGGAAATTAAATCATTTATTATTCTTGAGAGCCAATTCTGTACACTTTTTATGCCTTGAAACTACTTTCTAATCTTATTATTTAAAAAATAATGACCCAGTCTTATTATTTTCTTTTTTTTTTTTTGCCAACCTATCAAGCCTTAAGTATGTTGGTTTCAAAATGGTTTGAGCAAAAACTCATTAGAATTATATGCTCCATCTGTTTTTCTCATTGGAAGCTTTATAAAATGCTCCTACAAATAAATCAAAGATAACTGTGTGAAATACTCGAGTAATGTTCTTGTTTTGTTCTGTTTTGTTTTTTGTTTACTCTTCGCAGTTAAAAAGCGCCAAGGAACTAGCAGAAATCAATGGGCATGATGAATCTCAGGCAAATGTAGGTACAGCTATCTATGTATGGATTTAGATATATATATATGCATGCATACGGTCTCAAATTTACTATCTATGTCTTAAAGCTGATAGAATGGCTGAATGACTTGCACATCAGGTTTGAAGTGCCTGGTTTTTTTCCTGAAGCCACAGGTTCAAAGCCCAGCAAACTTCATTTCGAGGTAGATAAATTGGGTTCCATGCAATTTACTTTGTAGGATTTATTTGGGTGAGACTTTAACAACCAATGTCCTACTTGCTGTATGTGGGTGTTAAAGATACCATGGAAACGACTTCAAGAGAAATGCTTTGCCTTAGTGTCCTGTCCAGGATTACTCAAGCTATAAAATTATACCATTTGTCTCTGTGGCTGCCACCTTGCAGCTCAGCAAGTCTGGCCACATATTTCAGTTCTGAGTCAAGTGATTCATATACACGTGTATAATTTGAAAACAGTTAATTTGCACAAGAGGACTAAATTAATTCATTGAGTCATTATTTTGTCCAAAATTGTTAAAGGACTTGCTAAGGTCATGTTTTTTAAAACCTGCTACCAAAAAAATGCTTCTGTTATTCTGTTAATGATTGCAGTCAAAACAGCAATTTGGATAAGAGGAGAGAGAAAAAAGGAACTTTCCTGCTATGTTTGTCATCCAAACCATGCAGCTTTGTCATAAACATATGAAAATTAAAACTGATTATATAAGATACATTCCTCCTAGCCAAGAGAACTAGCAATAGTCTGAACACTAATATACTTTAACATCTATTTTAGTCAATGTGTTGTCTAATGGCACAGCCAGGAAAGCAGTTTTATTTTAAACCTGAATGGAAGGCTCAAATTTTGTGAACTGCTTTGTGATAAGGAAATGTTGTCCTCTCCTTTTTAATCCTTTCCTGAATCTCATTCATTGTGGTCTGTTCCTGCAGTGAAGTCGATAGAGCCTCATAGCTCTCAGTGTTTGGACAGGAGACATTCAATATTGTCTGATAGCTCCAGCAAATCTGCAATTGCAGTCTGTCTGCACAGCGTCTCATTGCCCTTTGAAAGATTCTGTTTGCGAACCGAAATAAAGACATTAATCCACTCATGATCTGGAAATGCTCACATTTGCTACCTAAAACTTGTCTTTGTACAACAGCTGGTTGCAAGTTTCCTAAAGGCATTTAGGAATGTGAGACTTAGAAACTTTCTAAAGGAACTTGCTTCCTCTCCAAAAACGTGGATGAAACAATGTTTTGCAAGATTGAAATGTTTCAAAGGAAAATTACCTAAATGATTCAACTTTTATCATTCTGGCTCATATGTAACTGGATAAAACTGAAGAGCCTGCAAGTTTTATTTTTATATAATATAAAGGCTGAAACAGCATTAAAATGAAACATTTCAATTGTGTAAAGAGAGTGTTTCAGTACATCATTCCCAGATGTCTAAAACAAAATATTTCAGAATCTTTGGTTAATGGTAAATTTTTCAAAATGTAATGTTTTGTTTCAGTTCGTAATTGCAGGAATTGTTTAAATGCCTGCATTTTCCATAGGATAGAAACTCTATTTTCTGCCCCTCTCTGCCATGAGCTCTTCCAATGATGATCTCATAGTGATATTAGACTCCTAAGAAAAGAAGTCAATACCGAAATTAGTGGTGAAGAGGGAAGCCAGACAGCTACAATTATTGAGTCACAGTTGAAGCCATGTGTTCAACAATTATGCCACCATGAAATCAGAGAAGGCATAGCAGCACAAATGGAAATAGAGAAATAGAAGGAAAGAATGGATGTTAAAGCATTTGCTACAGTAATGAACTTTGTAAAATGGAAGTTGAGGTACTTTTTAAACAACTGTCATTTATATCAAATATGTAGTGCTCAGGTGTTGTGCCTTGCAGGTTGCCTCTCCGCATCTATTCTCAGCAGACTTCATGGTTCTTGCCCTTGGCCAGTGTGCAAATCCAGGATGATCAAAGAGAAAAAGGCTTGGTGGCTCCTACGTGGTTGTTAGTGAACTGTGAGGCATATAATGGGATTAGGACATATTTGTTACAGTTGACAGGCTGAATTCAGCAAATGAAATACCTTTACATGCAGAGCAATAGTGGGAGGTGTTGGTAAGGAAAAATGGCAACGTATGTCTATACACTGAACACACAATCTAATCTTCACACTATGGCATATTTAGATTACTTTGCAGAAAATCAGGCTCGTAGAAAGGACAGTAGAAACTTTAGGCACAGTGCATACACATCAAGAAAGCCCATACTGTAATCTTAAAAAGATTCTTTTCTGCAGTCCTCAGGCTTTCTGCTGATGGCACTGGTCTGCATCATATTTTACATTAGAAAATATTGTTTCTTAAAATAAAACCTGGAAATATTTTTCTTAGCAAAAGCAGATATAGATGAAAATATATACTTAGACCTATCCTGGTATGTTGTCTACATTTCCATTATGTGAGACCATCCTGAACAGGAAACAAGGATTTGGACACCTTTGGAAAAAGAAAAACATCCCTCCTGAAATGTGCCCAACCTATAAATGGATGAATCTTCATCTTTTTTCTCTTGTTTTTGCAGGGGAATTGAGCACAGTTAACTAAGAGGCTGGAGCAATTGAAATGTTACCCTCCCTGCCATGGCAGTTCACACACAAATCCGGGGGGAAAAACCCAGAAATTTTAGTGTATTGCCAGTACATCTGTTATTTCCAGAAAGCAAAACCATCTTACAAGGCTCTGTAAACAGTCATAAGGGTGTTTCATGAGTGACTTGCCAGGTACATGCAATAATATTTGTTATGGCTGTTGACATTTCCCAGCTATGCTCTGTGGCAGGAAAGGCCAAATGTCAGGCTCAAGCAGTACATAAAGCCTGGGATCCTGGCCTGGTGTTAACAGAGACTTCAACACCCAGGACTGCCAGAGGTGCTGTCATTGAGCATTCATTTCCTTCAGCCCTGCAGTTAGGAAAAGATTGCTTCTTGCTTCTGATCTGCCCCCCTTTTAATTTCCTTTTCATTGCTGCATATAATGATATTTAATTCACATCTCTGTCTTAACTGAAGAGAAAATAATGGCCAATAATTTCAGATACAATCCTCTTCCAGGATGTTCCCAGACTCTTGGGACCTGATTAGTCCCAATGTGACAAAAAATCTTGCTTGGGAGGTGTGCTGGAGTAGAGAACATTTTGCAAACTGAAAATGCTAATCACATGTTTTGTGGCTAACTCTATAAAGGCAATTTATTATTCCACTGTTTCTGTAAGTTCAGTGCCTTTCTGTGGAGCCTCTTGTGTATGGGTTAATTCTGTGTTTTGATCAAAGATCTCCTTTTCCTCACTGCTGAGTTCGGTATACATAGGGCACTGCATGCAAATACAGTTACATAGCCTTGGTGAATATATCGCTGTTTTGGGGGTGGGAAGGTTATCATCCATGGTATCCCTCTGTTGTTAATGGAGAAAGGGAGATTTTTTACACAAGCTTCACTTTAGAAGTAGTCAGTGATCTTCTTTCAGTTTGGCGCTCTCCCTTGACAGGTATCTGCCTTCCTTAGATGGAGGACAGCTCCTATGAATAACTTCTGCCCTTTTCAAAAGTGCCATAAGATGGTAGTCAAGAGTATCAGTCCTCCAAGTTCAGACCAAAGCAAGAGATGAGTCACAGTCACAGAAGGATTTTGAATGCCCAGATTGGAATTGCATGGTGAAGTCCTGACTCTGTTGAAGTCAATAACTAAATTCCCATCAGGTTAAAAAGCCAGGATTTCACCAAAAGACTTTTAGGGTTACTTCATTATCACCAAGGCATAATAAAATGAATATATTTCAGAGAGTGAAACTGATTTAACACAAGTTTTTTTTACCAGCTTTTTGCTCTGTTTGAGTTTCATTGTTTGAACAAAGTAATGACTTTGACCTCATTCGACTGTCTGCCTCCAGTTAGCATCTCCAGCAGCTTGGACACAATATTCTGTGGGTTTTTCTCCAGACATGAAATCAATAATATTAAGTAGGGATGCATTTTTCCATTTGAATGCTTGAAGCTGTTATCAGAGCATTTCTCAAGTTCAACCAAGCATCTTACATTTGATGTTGATTCTGCCTTTCATTTTTCCCCTCTGTATCTGCTTTTCAAGCCGTTACCAGATGATCCCTGACTCCGAGGAGGAGTATAGCCAGGGTGAAATATTTCAACCATTTTACCAAATTGCTCACTTTATGCTACACTGAAAGTGATGTTATTCCTAACTACACCCTAATCTTCTCTTTTCACATAGTATTAATCACTGATGATCTTTACCAAAGACAAGTAAAGACAGCTTTTAAATGAGGCTCATTTTTGCAACAAGCCAGGCAAAGTTTTAAAAAGCTAATCCCCTTTAATTTTGGAGAAGTCTGTAATTCCATCAAAGTCATCAGAGTTCAGTTCTTACAGTTCACTGTGCAAACCTTTAATAGAAGCACCCAAGGGTACCTGCTGTGGACGTCCCATGTCAGTGTATGTGTTAGTACGCACCCGCCATAGGAGGGGGCACCTCCATGCTGTGTGACTGCCTCACATCAAGCCAGGTGATGGGCCCTTGAACACAGGGAGAGGAGAGGGAGCTAGAAGAGTGCAAGGCCTGCTCAAATCGTCCCAGCGGTTTGGGACTACGGGACGAAAGTTGGTCACCTTCATTGATGAAGATCCCAAGTGATTGCTGATGCTTTTACTTCACTTCCTTGTGAGTGCAAGAGCCATTTCTTGGCTAGCCCACTCTTCAAAAGGCTTGCTCTTTGCAGAACAACACAGGCTTGTGATAAAAAATGTGCCCTACATGGCTAATATAAAACCAATTTGGGCCTAAAGTTATAGGCCAGAAAACCCCAGTGCAGGGCTTGCATATATCAGGAAATGAGTGTTTCCTTTCTGTCTGAGCTTCCTGGGTTCCTGGGGTTCATAAGGTGTGAACCTCAGCCTCAGCAAGCTGACATGAGTCAGGGAGCAGCTGCCTTGGCTTGGCTGG